AATTAAATTCAATAACATAAAAATCATACAAAAAACTCATTCTACCCCTCATATTAAACTCAAGTTTAATATGTTCTATATTTCAAAGTTTGATAAATAAATAGGAAACTAATAAGTTTAAACCATGATACCCCACAAAAACTTCATAAACTGATTTTAGAAAACTGTTTTTTATAAATAATACCAAATACAAGATGTAATAAATTGTATTTTTCTAAATTAATGCAAAAAACTGATTTTCGATGATTTATAATTTAATAGGGAAAAACTGATTTTATTAGTTTAAATTAAAAAGTTTGATCAATTGATTTTATATAAGGTTTCATAAAAAATATACACAACACAAGTTACCTCCATAACATAAAAATCATCCAAAAAACTTGTTCGACCCCTCATATTAAACTCAAGTTTAATATGTTATATTTATCAAAGTTTCCTACCACACAAAAACACCATAAAATAATACCTAACATCATGAAATTCAATAACATAAAAATCATACAAAAAACACATTCTACCCCTCATATTAAACTCAAGTTTAATGTGTTCTCATATTAAACACCAGTTTAATATGTTCTATATATTATTTCTCAATAATTTTAGATGAGTGAGCACGAACGCCGTCTTTCCACCATTGCTCGTCGTGGGCGTCAGAATTCACGACGGGCCTCAAATGCTGATCGTGATATCAATGATGATATCAATCCCGACGAAGGACAAGCTCTTGACGGACATGTCCAAACTCCTCCCTCCGAACAATCAGACGCTCATATAAGCGTGCATGGGGAGGGGGCATCATCTCATGCACCTCCTTCATCTCGTGCAATATATGCCCCCCCCCCCCCCCCCCCCCCACTCAAGAAGAGCGCCACAATCCCGGTTCGCTTGAGGTGACACCTCAATCGATCCATAGGTAATAAAAAACTAACATTCTCTAATATAAAATAGTATAATCTCTTTATCTAAGAATTAATACAATTGTTTTTATCAATTATCAATTTTTTGAAGCGATTCTGAGGTCTTGAATAGAATCAAGGCCATTGTTTGTGGTCATTTCACCGGGCCGTGGTCGACTTATGGTGAGGTTCCGGCGGCCACTCGTGAACTATGGTGGCGGTTGTTCAAGGTAAAAATAAATATTTTTGTTACATTTTAGTAACTTAAATTTAAGAAATAATGATATATCAATGTTTTTCATGAAGGCTTCCCATCGTTGGCATTTCGCCCTAGACCAAGCGATTCTCAAAGAATACAATTCTAGGATTTCTGGGTGGTTGAGACCCACTTTTAGGACCGCCCGGTCTACGGGTAAAAAGCCAAAGTTCCTTGGCGATGATGTGTGTGAGATGCTTTGCCGCCACTGGGCTACGGATGCCTCATTTTTGCTGAGAAGCGAAATGGGCAAGGCAAACCGGGCTTCCGAGAAAGCCAAGGAAGTTCAATGGCACGGGGGCCGCAAACCCCAAAGTCAACATAAAAAAGATCTGGTAAACTCTATTTAGTTAAAATTATTTCCATTCCATACCATTATGTATATATAATTTTTTATTAACTTTGAAATCCGTGTAGGAAGGATCTGGACCCGTGCCAAAACGGGTCACGCCATTGAAACTCATGGCACATTGCTGGACTAAGAAGGGTGCCATGCCGCCTCCCCGCATTTCTGAAATTGAAGTAAATAATGAAACATAATTCAATAAATTTCGATTTTTTTAGATCTCTTATAATAAATTTTTGAACTTGTAGAAAAAATATGAGGAAGAGCGGGGTAAGAGAGTTGATGAGCTAGCTGATTCTGATGACGAACTTGATGAAAATCAAGATGATGAAGCCATCTTGGCGGCAACCGGAGTTTACAAGGGCCGGGTGCCGTTTATGGGTTCTGAAGGCGTACGGATCCTCGAGAAGACCAAAAGAGCTAGCTCATCTTCTCATTCGGCATATGATAGATGATCGGGTTACCCGCCTCGAGAAACTATTGGAGGAACGTGAAGCCGAGGCTCGAAGGCGGGATGAAGAAGCTCGGATACGGGATGAAGAGCAAAGAAGAACAAGAGAAAGGTTGGAAGAGATGGAACGCCAAATGTGTATTTTCAACGCCACCTACCGTCCATCCATGCACATACAGCACCCCGAGATGACCCCACAAGTTCCCTTCGCGGGCAATATGGGCAATATGGGCAGTATGGGTAGTAGGGGTTTTGCTAATTATAGCCACATCTCCAACAACTTTCCATATGGATATTATGACGATATCCCGACTCCCGGAGCTCAAGCTTACCGTGGCAGCAGCCGTGCTGGCAGCCGCAGTGGCAGTCGAGGCGGTCATCGTGGTGGCAGCCGTGGCCACGGAAGGCAACCCGATCATCGTGACGAACCTGATGATGTTGATGCTGATTATGATGACCATTGATGGTTTGTAATAATTAGTTTATTAACATTTTAAGGATTTTAAAATTTTGATGTGTTAATGTATGAATATTAATGTGTAATGGTTTGATTGTGTTTAAATAATAGTTTATTTGTGTTTTATAATGATGGTTTGATTAGATTATTATTTATTATGATACCTAATGTGTAATGGTGATTAATGATGATTGTTTAATTATTTATTATAAACAATTATTTATTATGATTATTGTTTAACTATTTATTATTAAGTTTAATTTTTTAAAAAAGCGCCTAAATTTTAATGGTTATTTTTATTAAATAAACTTTTGAAATAAACTTTTAAAAATGCGCTGAATTTTTAAAAAATTTTTTAAAAAAATTTAAACTTTTGTCACGGACTGTTCCGTGACAAAATATAAATTCACGCTAAATTAACGTATTTTTTTTTAAAGAAAAATGTTTTGTCACGGATGGGATCCGTGACAAATTCAAAATTTTGAATTTTTTGAAAATTTTAAAGCTCCCGCTCACTCTATTTTAAAATTTTCAATTTTTTTTCAAAATATTTTGTCACGGATATGTCCGTGACAAAATTTAAAATTTGAATTTTCCGGACCGTTTCAAATACCCGCCCACTCTATTTTGAAAAACCTTTTTTAAATTTGTCACGGATATTTCCGTGACAAGTAATTATTTTTTTTTGAAAAATAAAAACATTTATTCACGGATGCGTCCGTGACAAATGAAAGGCGATGGGATTCCGGTGAAGTGTTTTGTCACGGACCGTGGCCGTGACAAATCCGTGACAAACAGTCTCACGGATTAATTTCCGTGACAAAAACGTTATCACTCCCCTGGTGTCACGGATGGGATCCGTGACAAATCCGTGACAAAAAATCATTTGTCACGGATTTTTTGAACTATCGTTCGTGACAAAATCCGTGACAAACGGCGTGTTTTTTTGTAGTGTTAGGGCCGTAATCGAATTGAGTTTTTTTCGAGCTACGCGAATTCGAGCGTGATTTCGAATTTAATTTAGTGATCTGAGTTTAAGAAGCTTTTTTTAACTCGAACACGAGCTAGATTTTGAGTTCGAATAGTTGTTCAAGCTGAGTTCGAGCATAGTGGTATTCAGTTTGATCCGAACTCAAGTCTATCAATAACTCGTAAATTATAGAAATAAATTTTATTTATCTTAAAATTTAAACATTTTCATTGCAATTTTTTAAATATATTTGAACACTAAAAAAATAGAGTTCATATATCTATTTTATTCAAGCCGAGTTTGAGCATAAATTAAATTAATAATCAAATAGAATTACATAACTATTGAATAAAACTAATGCACTAATAAAACTATTATAATTTTAATAATAATAATAATAATAATAATTTTAATAATAATAATAATAATAATAATAATAGAAATAGTATATGACCAAATAAGGATAGTTGATAAAGAGTAACTTAGTTATTTTAATGATTATAATTATGTTTAAATTTTAATGCTTATAAAAGTTACTCATGGTGACTTGGGTCAAATAATAGTAATATTCATATAATAATAACAGTATTATAATAATAATATAATATTAATCATAAAATTTATGTTGTAAAATAATATTGTAAACTTGTAATATAAAGTGCTTTCATTGATGGTGTGGGTGAGTGGGTGAGATGGGATTGCATAATTTGCAGCTGGCTCCAAACATCAACTACATACAATTGTTTAATACTCCGTATGTAAAGTTTTGCTCCTCAATTTATCCCACACCGACTGCAAGGATGGTTCACCCTCCTGAGTGTCCTATATATAAATCACTTCTTGGTGCAATCACACCAAGCTCTATTATTACGCATCGGGATCATTTGTTCTCGGGATCATTTGTTCCCATGACTATGGGCTTTAAACAAAGTTTGGGCAGCCTTTTGGTTTTAGAGCTTCTTAGAACACTTCCTTGTAGACTTGGGGTGAGCTGAGTTTTAATTTTTGGGTGGGCTGAAAATTAAATCTCTTTCTATACTAACAAAAAAAATTGGGTTGGGCTGGGCTAGAGCCCACCCTAGACCCTACATAGATCCGCCCATGCTGCCAACCCACCCCCAACGGCTCTATTGGCCCAAAAACAAAAAAATAAAATAAAAATAACCGTTGTGACCCGGACCTGGGCCCGACCCGGCCGGGCCAGGTCACCTTTTGCCAGAACCGAGCCCGCCCCCCGCTGCTCCCCGGTTCGGGTCTACACCCGGTCCCGGGCCCGCACAGTAGCAGGCCAGGCCGGGCGGCCCAAACCGAATCCACCACTAACAGAAGCCATTGAAATTTTTAATTTTTTTTTCAAATCAAACGCAAATGGGTTTTCATTTCTCTTGTACTAACAATTGAGAAAAAGATGGGAAGATTACACTAAATCTTCGTTAAAAAGTGTACTGTTGTAAATCTTACTGTAACAACAAATACACAGAATTGTTTCTCACCGCTTGAAACAAATTCACAAAATTGATAAGATCCTCTAGGCAGAGCCTCTAGTTTCCCTCCCCCCTGGGACCCCCAACCCCCAACCCCCGACCCCCCCCAGGGGCGCCCCCCCCCCCCAAAAAAAAAAATTAGGGTTTAGAATTAGTATAGTTGGAGAAGGAAACTAGCTGTGACATCAAAACGTTACATTATGAAGTACATACAGAGTGTAAGGGAAGCAAATGAATAACTGAACTACATCTAAAGCTTGTAGTAGGAGTCAGTGGACTGCAAAAATGGGACTGTTGTTTGGATGCCTACTTATCTTGGAGTGAAGCTACTGCTACAAGCCTAGCATGCAAGCCAAGAGAAATGCTAGAGGGCAAAGTGGTACACATAGGTTATATATACACCCTTGGGGGATTTACTTGATGATACCTAAAGTGAGGGAAAAGTGATAATTTCACGAGGTGAGTGTATATTGATGCAGTAAAGCATGCAACGTGTGATATTATGAATCTCCAGATGAGAGAACAACAAAAACATCATCGATGGACCACTTGCGGCACTGTGACTTGTTGGCAGGGTTAATAATGGCCCGCTCTGTGGCAGCAAGGCGGTATCCGATCACAATCTCATGCCTTTGCCGGCCTCGTACCATTATATCAATGAAACAGAGTTCTTCCTTGTCATATAAATAAAACTCTGCAGGCTTGATACACAATTCATTTCCCTGCATACACACAGGAATGGAGTGTATCAATCTCTCCGTTATATGGAAAGTATGGGAAGAGCAGTTTAACCATCTCCTCCCTTTGTCTTCTCAAGTAATCTACTACGAAATCGGTGCACACTGCAAAAAGGATCTTAAAAATTGAGTCATATTAGGTTACCCTAATAGGAATAGCGCAAGATTTTATACATCAGTTCAATAGTTTGTATTTAACAGATAAGTGTCGAATAAATAAACAAACTACAATGGGATCAGATACCATATTAAGACTCAAGGCTCAATCCTAAACAAAACAACTTATAAATATGATAGTATTTTGATTAAATGCATGACATTAATGTTTAAGCGTCAAAGTATCTCATCTAGATGAAGCAAGCAGAGGATATGAGTTGTCCCTTGATAAGACTTAAGATTTGATTACAAAAGGTGAATCTGATAAGAGTAGTCAAGACTTTATATGTGAGTTAGTATCTTTGTACTTGACCTGTGCAGTTTGACTTAACATGACCTAAAAAATAATTGCTCATTAGAGCATACCAATTTTGATACTACTAAGACTTAAAATTTTAACTTAGTAGAATTGAATGCTCATTTGATCTTAAATGGCTCTGATACTACTAAGACATAAAATTTCATTATAAAGTTCAATATGATAATAGTAGCCTAAGACCTTATTAAGTGTGAATTGATATAGGAGTATTTATTTTCAGCCGGTGTGAAATTGCTTAACATCCCCTATTTATGTCCTCTATACATGATTACATGTAAGCATTTTACTAACCATATTGCCCTAGGCTTTACTGTCTAAACTCATACTATAGTTTTTATATTGTTGGACATGTCGAGCTTCTTTTAAAGAATAAAATGTAAAAGTTGTACTATATTCAAGTTAAGATGTGAATGGAATCAAATACCTCTTCTGCAAAGAGTTCTTCGAGGACCCGATTTATTTGTTTGTCTTCGGCTACCATAGCCAGTGCCATGCTCACCAGCTCATTAGATAGCACATAGTCACTGATCCTAGAAACCGACACAAGGTTTCTAGTCCTTGAGTCCAATATCTCGCTTATAATTATTGACTTGTCAGAAGCTTGTTGCATTTCACGGATCCACAAGCTCTGACAGAAAGCAGCATGACGTAGAGGAACTGGTTTGGAATTTTTATACGGAAGACGTTTTGACTGCAGTTCCATAAAATAAAACTCAGCAAATTGAATCAGTACTAATCAAGATATGACCAACTACTACTCTTCATGCACTTAATTTCAATAAAATTATGTGCAACTAGATATACTGAAATACCTTTTGGTCCTATACTCCTTGTTACTTTTTAGTAGGGTTGTAACTTGTAAGGGGACAGAACATCTGGTGAACAGCTATGCTTGGACTTTTCAGTCTCCATTCAGGTGTGTATAAGTCAATTAAATGAACATAAATGAGCCTTCTTTTAGAGATCGTGCAAACAGAGCTTAAAAAGCAGGAAGCTCATTAAATAAAAGCTCATGAACAGTTAGTTAGGTTTAGTTGAGCATGTTTGTGAAGAACAGTTAAGTTTATATTAGGAAAGTGAAGATTACTTTAAACGTGTTTTGTCATTTTAAAGCATATTCCCCATAAAAGCATGCTTTTGAAGATTCTGAAACATAACTCTTGAACATATTCCCCATAGATTATTTTAAGTTTATATTGGGAAAGTCAAGGTTACTTTGGATGTGTTTTGTCATTTCTTTAGTTATAAATCTATAATGAAAAGTTAAAGAGGGAGCATCACTTTTCAAAATATGTTCCTTTTGCACAAGAGATTGTTTTTAACCCAAAAGTGTTACGGAGTACTACCCAATATGTTTTATACATTTATTTATGATTCGCTAAATTATCATAATCAACTTGTTTGTAACTCTGGTTAGTATAAGACGTGTAGGATTTACATTTGTCATGTCTATCATGACTTCCTATTTAATGTTAAGATGCATATTTTAATTATTGTATCAAAATGCACTATATTAGCCGTAATTATTGAATAGACGCTCTATATATATCCATGAGACTTAACATAAAGCTATGCATTTGATTTATGTAAATATGTAACATTAATTTAAAGTGACACACAAGAATGTACACATAAACCTAATTTTGTATGTATCCAATTGATAGGATAACATTCTAATTTTTGCGGTTTGTCACCAATCTTTTGTGATGGCTAGCTTACACAAATAGATGTTTTGTTTTTGGTGGTGATAGAGTATCCTTACTTGGGATGCCCCTTTTGATGTTTTTGCTACTATACACATGTACATAAACACTTTGGATATATATATATATTTACAGTTTATCCAAAAAAAAAAAACTAATTTTGTCATAAATAAATAAATAAATAAATAGAAAGATGAAGTGAGCTGCAGTGGAACAAGTTTATGCTTTTGATTCGCACTTGATATTTGTCTATTAAAGGGCTGTTCTCAACTATAACAATGACCTGAATGTCTCGGATGAGGAGGAGGGTCGCAAGAGACCGCGAATCAGAATGAACAATGGAGTCTCCAAGAGATGCATCTGCAAGAATTAATATCTATTCATTTTAGAGTTAGTGACCAGCACAAGGACAAATACTGAATATGAAATTTAACAATATCTGCAACTTTCCAGTAAATACTATACAAGTCTTTATACAGTAATTATTAGTAAGCCAAGTCAGTGTGGAAGTTGAACTTACGGAATCAAAGGTTTCTAGAGGAAGACTCTCTAAATGACGTCTGATTACAGCATTCCCCTCACGATGGATAAGTTTAATGTTCACTAATTGTGAAATATCCAGACTGCCATCAGTAAGCTTCCTTTCTCTATCTTTCTCAACAACCTCATTAAACATCCACAGCTCTGACCCTGGAGCCAGGAGTGCTTCTAATACCTAACAAACAAGCACATATTGACAGAAGCTACGTATGAAATTATGATTGTGTGACTTATAATCCAACACTAGTAAAATGAAAGACGGAAACTATTTAGTATGTATTATAACACAATGGTTGTTCACTATATCTAATATGTAAGCGTGAGGTAGACTTCACCTATTGAAAATCCTTTTGGGGTTAGTTATGTCCAATAAAATATGATAGCATCATGATCTATTGTAATTTGTTTATATGTTTCACATTCCAACACTTATGTCTTTATGGTAGTCTGCTTGGGGTTGGTTTGACTTGTTTATTCACCCCTAAAATTGTTCATCCCAGTTTGAACAAAGGGGGCGGGGTAAGGGTGTCAGGGTGTGTGATTCTTTTGGGTGAGTTGGGCCTCATTTTAAATAAAAAACGAACTAGAGATATAGAGAATGATTGTAGTTTTCAAAATTAGTGTCATTATAATCACCAAAACCTTAATTTCAACTAGTTGTGGTTGTTGGCATGAAAGTCATACTGCCGGGTTCAGTTATCAAACCCCGAAATTTCAAAAGTAATTAATTTTAGTCCAATTCAAAATAACTTTCAATTAAACATCAATATTGAGTGCAGCAGATGCCACAAATGTATAGAAGAGCATTTCTACTTGCTATGTTAGAATTACCATTATCATATCATCAATGTCTCGCCTCCAACCACAGAATAGTATTCTCTCTGGAAATTTTGGAGGGTCACTCATTCTAGGGAAAATGCCTCTATGCACCTGCAATAAACAACCAAGGATATATAAGGGAGCAAGATCATAGACTTTGGCTACAGACACCAGACACATAAGGGTGAAAAAAGAACTATATTCATGTAGCCAATTTCTGACCAAAACACACCCATGAAAAATCGAGGATGTCATAATTTGAGACCATATTTAAATATGATTGACTTTGAATATGCAGATCAGCCAAATAAATATGCCACATGATTATATATAAGCATTTACTCGAGAGAAGGATATGTATATGACCTCTTCCAAGGGAGCTGGGGTATACGTATCATCATCCTCAGCTATAACAAGGATCTCATCACCTTCTTTTAATACATAATCGTCATCAGGGTTTATGATTATTTTCCCACCATCTGCAGCATCCTTAACTCCACAGGGAATTGCATCTGAGAAAGAAGTAAGTGCATCTCTGAAACATAGACCATCCAGTTGTGGCCATCTCTTAATGTAAAACTCAGCATTTTCAAACCCTAGGATGTCTTCCCATATCTGCCATTTAACACGAAAATATTTCAATATTGATATACTTCAGGTTGTGTTGCGTCACTCAACTAGTCAGTGACCTTTTTTTCCAGATGTATTTTAAAATTGTTCACAGAACTATTTCTAATACATAAGTGTAAACCTCCCCTCTTTAGAATCTTCTTGCGGTGAGCTAGACCGAATCTAATGTAGTGTATTTGTTTCTTTGGCACCCGTGATTTGGGGTTAGCTTGCTTAAAGTCACTTTGGACCATTTATCCACCAATTAAGTTGTTCAAATTGGATTTTTTAGTGTGAAATAGACCTAATTTAACATCGTCCATAGCACATGGACACACTACACTAAATGTTTGTATACGACCAATCCATACGTTTAACTCAATATCTTCTAAAATCATCTCATTCGCTTTAATATTTCAAAGTAGACTCTTAATGAAAAACAATGATGAAAGCAACGACTTATCAGGGAATAGAATACATTATATTGGTCTGACCTGTGCAAGGCCAGGCTGGAGAGCACACTTGATCATCAACCGTCCAATGACATCATGTGCAACAACTGTTTCGACAAGATCTCCACCAACAAGCTTCACCAAGGGTTCACTGTCAAGATCACTCATCTCCACAACAACATGACCCCTCAACCCTTCCTTCACGCCTACGAGGCTGAGCACAACCCTCAAAGCACGCGCATCACTCTTGTATACATGAAAAAAGTTTACAACTAAATTAGTTATGGCATTGGGGCTCTACTTCATACATGGTCAACCCATATGAAATTTTGAAACATGCTGAACCTGATCAGCTTTCTCATCAGAAGCTAAGACAATGATGGCACGTGCCTTTGAGACTGACACCTGCATTGCATAACAGAAAAAATAAATACTGTAAGGGGCATGGTCAGACATAAGCTAAGAGTCAGGACGTGTTAAGAGTATCACACCTAAAAATAACAAAAATCATGTGTTTCACCTTAAGTTAGACTAGCTAGTCGATTAAACTTGGGTGATTTCATCCATGTCCATTATAGTCCGACTGAGAGACTCTGTTCTAGGACTATTGCTAGCGCAAATGGCCCATTGTACACCTAGTTGTGAGTTTGAAAACTCATAACAGCCCGTGATCCCAATATTAGTGTGGTTTGGCTCAGGGATTTATGGTCCAATTGAGTTCAAATGTTTAATATTGTATTGTGTGCTCAGGCTTACTCTGGTCCATTTGAGCTGTTGCGACCCAAATATGAATTATATCACAAAACAATCAGGTTGTGGCCATGTAGGTTAACCTAGGTGATGAAAAAAAATCGATTAAAGATAACATAGTGCGTAGTATATGCTTTCCTGCCTTCTTTAAGTCAGCAAGTATGAGAGGACTGCCACTCCTGCAAATAACTGAAGTTCCCATGAAGTCAAATTCTAGCTTTGATATGTCGATCTCCATTTCTTCTTTGTCTCTTTCTGCAAGCACAACAACAACTCCGCCGCCAGTGCTCATATTTGCAATGGCTAACTGTTTCAACAGTGACCCCTGCAGTAAAGTATCACATTATAGTCACCACCTGATTAAGCCTCAAAGCATCACCAGCTTATAAAGATTATTATTCAGGATAATATTTTGATTTTTTGGCACACCATTTCTAGAACAACCACAACTTCTTTATGAACAATTTATCACTCTGATAATCTTTTGGTGACACTCATGTCACGGGCAGACAAGTTGATTGATAATGCAATTTTCAATTTTTTCCATCTAATAAAGGTACACGCTTCTGGTACGTTCAATTCTTTCACACCGGCACATACATTCATGGCCAGACATCCCATATCATTTGTATGGATCAGGCTAGCCTTTAATACCACATTAGAACTTGAGATTTCATTCTAAAGTTAACCTGAGGGAAGATGTAGTCCAAAATTTTATGTTGGGTTTTTTAATTATATTTTGGTGATACGTGACAAAACTCTTCGACACAAACCCAAGGCTTATAGATTACTTCCAGATCATATCAATGCGGATGTACGATGCTAAAGAGACCTACCAATTTATCACTCCATCCAAGAATAAGAATATGATTGCTTTCAATGACCTCGCTTTTGCCTTTCCGTAGAGAATCCACCTTCTCCGATATAGCATCTGAAACAAGTCCAAGCATCATGGCAAATATAAGCATGCCGCCTGAAGTTATGAGAACCGAAACCAACCTTGACCCTATGCCTGCCATGTCAGCATGACTCCCCGAGTCTGCTACAAAGGTCCAAGAGAGCCAAATAGACTCGGTAAAGCTCTTATCACTCACAGCGTACAATGCCAACCCTCCATATCCAATTAGAAAGAAAGTGGCAAAGAGAAGTGCCAAGAGCTTGGCGTAAGGGTAAATTGAGAAACACACATCAACCATATAAGCAATCCTTTTTTTGAATGGAATCTCCTCCTGGTTAACCATTGTTAGATTTGGGAGGTTCATCATTTGTGGCAACCAATCAAGATACTTGTACAGCAGAAATGGCATAATTAGGGTAAAAACTACTGCATACAGAGCAGCTGCTCTACTCTCAGCATCTCCAAAGTACAATGGAGTAGAAGGAGTATTTTCAAGCTCAGGATCGCCTATGCTGCCATTGTTAAAGGTATTTCTATGTCTACATGATAACTTTTGAAGCCTGGCATTCTCATCCTGCAATCATGTTTACAACTCCATCACAACTCTGTACCTTTAACAATCTATTCTTTATTATGCATATTGATATTACGAATGAGTTGCCCAAACATTATTAAAAATAGTTATGGTGCTATATCCACATCTTTTTTATGGTAATTGAACGACGTATTTCAACAGAGCTGTAAATGAAAAGTGGAAGGAAATACCTCAAGTTTATAAACTATACTCCTCAAATAAACTGCGTGTGATACAGACACAATACAAATGACGTTAACCTACAATGAGGAAGTAAACAATCAGAAACTATTCCATTTAACATGAATATTGTTGAGCTAAATAAAATATACTACCTCATGTTCTAAATAAACTTCATGTTTTCCTTTTTGTCCAACAAAACAATCATTTTTTCAAGGAAAAAAACAAGTGGTTCTTATCATTACACTCATTTCTACCCAATTCTTAATCATGCATTTTTCTCTTTAACCATTCTCTTAATAAGCATTCCAAATTCAAACAAAAAGTTTTGCCTAAATATTGACTTATATCGATTGAAAATAAAATAATATAGAGCACATCAATATATAAGATTCCAGATTACAACACTTATCACTTTAATACGGGATCCCAAATATCAATATTACATGAGAGTCTGGTCTGATTGTGCTTCGTGTCTTTTTGTGTGTACCCATCACCCATGTAACACCTAAATAGTCTGTTTAAAGTCAATTTAACCCATTATCCACCTTCAAATATCCACCTCATTTTCAATCAGATTGTGATTGATTTGTTTGGCACTAATAGTTTGTGATAGACAGTTTGAGTAAATTTGACTCGTTCGTCCTTGAGTTTTCTGGCCTTTTAAGATTGAGTGGGAGTTTGAGGTATTTGCAATACATCCTCAAAATATAAAAGAATAAGCTAACACTTCAAGCAAAAGGGGTAAATACTAGAGAGAGAACAGAAGGATGTGAAAATATATGAAGCTTAATCGGGCAAAAGGAACCAAATGTAGAACTCAAAAGATAACAAAGAAACTTACCAAAATAAGAATCCAAGAATGAGTAAAAGCACGGGTTTCTCGGACATTTATAGACTTATTAGCTAAAGTAACGGTTGGCGAAACGCAAGAAGCTGGGGATTGAACTGGAACTGAACTCAACTCTTTCTCTCTTTCCCGCTTGGGCCTCGGAAGCTTAACCTTAGGGGCGCCCAATGTTGCTCTATCGGAATTCACCGCGGCTCTGGACGGCATGGAGGTGCAGCGAGCTGGAAAATTCGGCGGTTTCGAAGCAGAAGCAACAGTGAGTCTGCTTCGAGCAGTGTCAAAAGAGGGGCAGGCGTCGTGGTCAGCCGAAAATTGACATTCAGAGGTGGTCGACGGCGGTGAGGAGAAGATGCGGCGGCGGAAGGCTGGGAGGTGAGGAGCAGCCCGTGTGTATTCAGAAATCGTCTTCGATTTAGCCAACAAGTGTGGCCTTCCTGGCTTGTCAGAATTCCAGTTCGGATAATTGGAACCTCCATTTACTTCAAGCATTTTCTGATAAATTTGGGTAAAAAAACGTAATTGTAACTTGTACAAAATAACTGGATAATAAAGAATTAAAGATGAGGGAGAGAAGGTAGTTTGTCGTTATTCAGTTAATGATCAGTTGTTGCGCTTAAGAGAAGAGTGATGAGGGCTGTGAATTCTCAGGCAGTAACTCGCCTTTAGAGTAGAATAGATTCGGGGGAGAAAAAAACACCCCATCATCCTAGTGGCCTTCCATACCAGCAGACAAAGTAAATTAGGAATCTATTTGCCCTTCTCCAAAAGGTTGAATGCCCAACCCCCAAGCCCCCGACACTACAGGATGGTGGCGAGGTTAATTGATTCAATCAGCAAAGGGACGATAGGCCTTATACACGTGTGCATGAGAGTTCCAGCCTTATTAGAATCTATTTGCCCTGAAATTCTGATGGGAAGGTTAGTCCTATTTATAGAATTTTTAATTTAGGATCCTATTTTGATAATTAAAGTTTCATTTATCCTTATTTGGGAAATTCTCCCTTACAATAATGTAGAGGTACAGTTTTTACAATTTTCCATTGAAAAATTACAATTTTGGCAATTACAATATTTACAATAATGTACGGAGTAGTATAAAGGACTAGACATAGTAAATAAAATGAAAGTTGATGCCCAAAGCTAACGTAATTAACAGTGTATGACTAAATTGAGTATTGCTGAAATACTCTAAGACTAATTCTTGTATTAACTTCGAAGAATTAAATGTAAGAATTGTTGGAAAATGTGTTAATAAATTACATTAAATGATCATTTTGAGGCATTATTTGGAATGGGGTTCACTTCTGATTTGGGTTGGGCAAAGTGGTTTCGGATTGTCCTTGTTAAGGGCTACAATTCGATATATGATACACTCAAAACGGATAACGGATGAATGAGAAATTGATTCTCGATGTTCACTCGTTGAAATGGAAAAACTGAGAAAATAATGAGTTTCTAGTGGGATCTATCCCACGCCGGAAAACCCAAGGGATTTTCACCTCTTATATAGAGAACCCTCTTTGAAAGAGTTAAGATTCCTACAGGGGAAATGCTCTCTTCACGCGCAGGGGGTGATGATCAAATCCCGAAAATGAAGAAGAAAAACCGCGACTAGTGTGCGCGGGCGACCTGCGGACACGAATGTCATCCAAAAATTTATCATTCAAAGATACGATTTAATTTTTGTTTCTTTCCGTAATGTTCTTTAATTTTTTCCATACAAGCAAAACTGCTCAGAACCAAAAAGGGGGTTTTCTGTTGGCTTCAGCACAGAAGACCACATGGTCTTCTAGTGGCTTCCGGACAGAAGGTCGCGCAGCTCTTCTGGTGGCTTCCGGACAGAAGACCATGGACCTCTTCTGGTCGCGCAACTGAGCGGTTACGGTAATAATTGCCCAACGTTCTTCTCCTTTAATGCTTCTTTAAATGGACAGTTTTTCAACACATTAATGCCCAACGTGCTAGACATTTATGTGCAACGTTCAGGTCCATTAAAGCTCGATTAACACACCACAAATCCTCCTACAAATGGTTGGCAGGTAATTTGCAACAACACACGCAATCATACACTATCTGCACGCATTTTGAGCTCTAAAAACACCTCCAGCTACTCCGAAAATTTCCTAAGTGCTCTGCTCCCTCCGTCCCTCAATATTTTGTCATGTTTGACCGGCAGGGGAAATAATAATGTAAAAACTGTGTGGTTGAGATATGTGCAGAGGAGAGAAAAATGACAGGAACCGCAAATTCATTAATTAAAAGAGAAAGTGGCAAAGTTTTGGGGACATCCAAAAAAGGAAAGATGACAAAGTTATAAGGGACGAAAGGAGTAGCTTGTTCCCGTTCGCCGTAACTTTCGTTTGTGTGCTCAAACGTTAGTTCGTTAGCCACTGTATCCTGGGAAACGGTCGTTGCAATGCTCCTAGCACCGTGGGAGGTGACGAATACGTTTTAAGGACATCATGCATAGCACGAGCTCTGGCTAAATTCTGCCTCATCTCATTTTTGTTTTCTTTAGTCATTTTAATTAATTAATTTTTATTAATTATTTTCTTCGTTTTTCCGAGACACACCCAACAATCTTAAAACGTATTCGAAGCTTGTATCATACGGATACAATCTTAAATTGTAGTTTGTCACTTTTGTGAACGAACTTATTTTTTTGTGTTTTCGGAAAACGTAAGAAAACGAAAATGGCTTCTCAAGAAATTCAGAATGTTGGTGGGCAGAACGTGCCAAATGACAATCACTCTGAAAGTGGAGCTCCGGTGAACAATAGTTCACAACGCGGAGCATCTGCTTTGGGCAACCAAGAGGCAATCCCGATGGTTACCGTGTCAAGCAACTCTGTGGAGAAACTCGAAAAATTTAATGGGTTAAACTCCAAGAGGTGGCAGCAAAAGATGCTATTTTACCTCACTAGTCTCGGTCTTGCTAGGTTCTTGACCGAAGACGCGCTGGTAGTAACTGAGGGTGAGGTGGATGCGCAATCTCTCAACATGGTTGAGGCATGGAAGCATTCTGACTTCCTTTGCCGAAACTACGTGTTGAACGGGCTGCATGATGCTTTGTACGACGTTTATAGCAAATTAGCTACGGCTAAGGAGCTATGGAATGCTTTAGACCACAAATATAAAAGCGAGGATGCCGGCGCAAAGAAATTTATTGTTGGCTGATTCCTTGATTTTAAAATGGTGGATTCGAAGACGGTCTTGAGTCAAGTTGAGGAGATGTAAATGATCTTCAACGAAATTCGAGATGAAGGAATGACAGTTAGTGAGTCTTTCCAAGTGGCGTTAATTGTCCATTTATGGTCACCGGCTTGGAAGGATTTCAAGAACTACCTTAAGCATAAGCGAAAGGAAATGAACTTGGAGCAATTGATCTTCCGTCTTCGGATTGAAGAGGATAATCGGAAGAATGATGGGAAACTCCCAATCGTTAACGGCGCCAAGGCAAACGTGGTGGAGCATGCTAAAGGCTCCAAAAATAAAAATAATGGGAATAGTAAGCTTGGTCCCAAGGGAGGCATTTCCAAATCAAAGTTTAATGGAAAATGCTTCAATTGCAATAAAAATGGACACAAGTCCGCGGATTGCAAGGCACCCAAGAAGAAGAAAGACAATCACGTCAACATGGTGCAAGGTGGGCAAAAGGATGAAGACATTATCCTTGCAGCCGTGGTGACCGAGGTCAACCTCGTTGGATCCCATTCCAAGGAGTGGTTCGTGGACACCGGTGCAACCCGACATATTTGCCCAAACCGGGAGCTATTCACGACTTTTGAGCCATCAAATGATGAAAAGGTGTGGATGGAAAATTCTGCTCATTCCGTGGTTGAAGGCATGGGCAAGGTGGTCCTAAAGATTTCGGGCAAGGAGCTGACTCTCAACCAAGTGTTGTTCATTCCGGAGATACGCAAAAACCTGATCTCCGACTCGTTGTTGAACAAGCATGGCTTCCACGTGGTTTTTGAGTCGGACAAACTAGTTTTGTCTAAATCGGGAATGTATGTGGGCAAAGGGTATGCATGTGAGGGGCTATTTAAAATCCCTTCTGCTTACATGCTTGAGTCTTCCAATGTGTGGCATGGTAGACTAGGACATGTTAACTATAATTCTATACGTAGATTAATTAACATGGAACACATTCCTAAATTCACAATTGATGTGAAGCACAAATGTGAAGTTTGTGTTGAGGCAAAACTAACGAAAACGTCTTTCAAATCAGTTGAAAGAAAAACGGAACCACTTGAATTAATTCATAGTGACGTTTGTGATTTTAAAGCAATACAAACACGTGGCGGTAATAAATATTTTATTACTTTTTATCGATGATAGCATTCGTTGTAGCTATGTTTATTTATTAAAAAAAATAAACATGAAGCAATCGATAAATTCATTCTTTTTTGGCCCCTAAGTTCACCCCTTGGGTGCGGTAAATGACGGGTTCATTTACCTAGTTTTATTAGATTAAATCTGAATCTGTTTACAAGAGTCATTGTAGGAAAACTTGAGGTCTATCAACCGATGTCTCTAAAGGTTTGCCTTCCACGGAGGTCATCGAGGTAAGACATCTTTATTCTGTTGGGCAGGTCGTTGCGATCGAAGTATTGAGCTGATGGATTCCTGATTCCTTGTCGTGCTAGTAGGTCTGATGTTCGGTTCCCTTCCCTGAGCGTGTGAGAGTAAAGCAGGTCATGGCAAGATTGGACATGGTGTAGCTTGCTTAGATCAGGTAGTAAGTCGTCGTCTAATTTCGTTTGACCTTGAGTTGCTTTGTATATTGTTTCTGAATCGATAAATTCATTCGTTATAAGAATGAAGTGGAAAACCAACTTAATAGACGGATTAAAAACGGTTACAAGTGATCGAGGTGATGAGTATGAAGCACCAATTGGTGGGTATAGGAAATGAACGTACCGCACCCTATTCACCTCAATCAAACGGTGTTGCCGAACGAAAGAATCTCACATTGAAAGATATGATGAATGTGATGCTAGTAAGTTCGGGCCTGCCACAAAATATGTGGGGTGAAGAAGTCTTGTCAAGCAATTACCTTTTAAATAAGGTTCCCCGGAAAAATATGATAAAACTTCGTACGAGTTGTGGAAAGGTAGAAGTCCTTCTTATCAATATTTAAAAGTGTGGGTGTCTTGCAAAAGTGCTTGTACCAACGCCTGAGAAAATAAAAATAGGTCCAAAATGGTGGATTGTATTTTTATTGGATATGCACAAAATAGTAGTGCTTATCGGTTTTTAGTGTACGATTCGAATAATCCGGATGTACATAAAAACACAATTATTGAATCAAGGGATGCTTCATTCTTTGAAGACGTATTTCCATGAAAGTCCAACGAAGGACCAAGCACGTCAAAACAAACATTTGACGTAGCTAGGGAAAATACTAGCAAGGGGTCCGGAGAAGAAGTCGAA